CCCCCCGGGGGGGTCTCGGCTCCTCCTGCTGCGGCTCGGCTCGGTAGCTGCAAAAAACAACTCTCGGCTGGAGACAATCAGCTGAGAAACCCGAGCATTTGAGGTGCTCGCTCCGCACCGTGGGCTCCCGCCGATTGGCCCAAGCGGGCTCGCCCCCTGCGCGCCGCGCTCGGAAGGCCACAGGCCGCTAGACCTGTCGCTCCAGGAGGCCAAGCTCTGATTGGGTGCCCGCTTTCCCCTCTTGCTCCTCCCCTTCACTCCCCACCCATGCTGCCGATTGGCCCAGCAACTGCACGGCCAGCTCGCGCCTGCGGGCGGGCTCGGTTGTCGCCTGTCAGCGGGGCGGCTGTCGCTCCGCCCCCTGCACTTCCCATTGGCTGGAAAGGCTTCACGTAATACCCACGAGGACCGGGAGGAGCCTCGCGGTTGTTTTTTGCTCAGCAGGCTGACTCCACCGAGCGGTGGAGGCTGCTGGCGCGGAGGGTTGGGAGCGCTGCGAGCCCGCAGGTAGGGGGAGCGGTTCGCGGATGCCCGGCAAGCGAGGCATGGGCCCGCCTTCTGCCTCTCATCCTTCTTGTGGCGGGAACTGTCGGTCAGCCGTCCGGGTCCCAGCCCGCAGGTCTTGTCCTCAGGTCTCGGATAGGTAGGTGGCAGCGCGGGTCCTGCAGGCGAGGGCTGTGGTTTGACGGCAGGGATGCCTGCAGGGCTTCAGACCTGGCGGCTCTCCCCCCAGCAAGGACAGCACTGCCCAGCTCTGGAGTTTGGCTTAGAAGGGGCCTCACCTGGATCCTTTTAAGGGACGTTTTGCTTTCTTTTTTTTCCCCTAGCGTGAGCATGTAGTAAAACGGGAGCCCTTCTGTGGGGAGAGGGCAAGAAATGAGGCGAAGGCTGAACGGAAGCTCTAAGTAAAAGAACCTCCCTCCCTCGGGATATGTCCCAGAAGGAAGAGTGGAATTAGAGTGGGATGGATATGGAAGTCGTCTCAGGGTGGGGGGAAGGTGGGTCTTTGAAACTTAGAATTTGGAAAGATGCTGTGGGCATAAGTTTAGGCAAAACGGCAGAATCAGAATTTTAAGTCTTTGATGAATGTCTAGAGAGGAAAAGGTAGAATAGTCTGTGCTTCTTAAATTCCACATGTATTCCTTCAAGCCTTAGTCCCCTGTGTGGTGGATGGTGGCGCTATTTCTAGGGCTCAGAGATATACAAAACACATGCTATATTATGCTACTGCTGTAAATAAATGAGGAATAAATAGATCTTCCCACGTATATTGGACTGAGATAATATTTGTTGACTTTTTGGGGGGGGTGTTTGGTAATAGAATGAGCAAATTAGTGCAAAATGGTGAAGGAGTAATTTGTGTTCCCCTTAGGATGGGTGGCATATCGCTAAATAAGTATACCTGTGAAAGACAGTGCTACATTTATTGGTGCAGCTAAGATTCAGCATCTCCTAACTCACCATTCTAAGAAGAGTGTTGCTACTTTCTTTCCTAGCTAAGTGATCCACAGGGAAGGTAAAAATCTCTTGTGCTCCAGATTGTGGGACAGTAGTTTCCCCAGGCACCAGATACTGGTGTGTTTTGGATTCTTTGTAGGTGTACTGACAAACTGTGATAGATGTTTAGGCCTGGCACTGTTATGTGGAGATCCCTCTGATGAAACATTCAGCTGAGCAGGTTGTGCTGTGCAGCCTACAGTAGGGTACAACTTGCTGTAAGAAGTTAACAGCCCTAATCCAACATCAGCGCTCTAAAGAAGGATCTCAGCTTTATTGGAATTGAAGACATTTGCCTCATGGATTCATAGGGAATGTGGTTAGAGCAGTACACAGTTCTATTTGAAAGGGGACAGAGTGCTCCGGGCCCCAGTGAGGTAACTGATTGCAGTTATGTGCTTAAGCCCATAAATTAAGCATGAACTCAGAGTTATGTGCTTTTAGGCACTTGTCAAAATCAGGAAAGCCTCTTATTCTCTGGCATGGCCTATTTTTGTATCTTCTATAATCAATGAATCAGGTCATGAATAGATTTTCACCATGAAGGGGTTTTTCTTTGTTTTCCTGTATTCTCTACTCAAAGTGAGAGTAAACGACATTTGGATAGCACCCATGCTACTTTTACATCTTTGCTTGTGAGACTTTTTGTTCCAGTGTCATAGCAAATCGGTATAGCCACTTTTTTTTCCCTTCCTTTTTTGGGGGCATACATATGGGGGGTTCAGGTAGAAGATTTTGCCCCACTCCCTTGAGGGAACTCTTAAGTGGAGAGATGTTGACTCCTTTTATTGCCTCCTTGGGTCTTAAGTGGTAAACTGTGATGAGATCTAATCAACATTTTATTTGAGTCTGGTTCAGTGAGCAGGTTCTGTTCTCTAAAAGCAGCATTAAACTGTAAGCAAGCTAACTTTTGACAGAACGTTCCTACAGGAACTTTATAAGCATTATATGCCCCATTTGTTGCAGAATATGAAATGTGGCTTTTCCCAGAGAATGATGCCTGTAGATCTTGGTGTAATTTGTTTAATGTTTACAGTTGTTAATTTCCTCTCTTTCTTGAGAGGGGAAACCATTAGTTTCATGTTTAATCATAAGGGAAATTTAGGCCTTTAAAGGGGAAACTAACCAAGGGTCTTCTAGAAAAGCTTGTTTCTGGGTAACCTAAAATTGGAAATATGTCCAAATGCACAATGGTTGAATATTGTTGTTTTGAGAGAGCAGATTACTCTAGCACATGGTCTTTCAAACATTTAAAAGCAGAACCATTTGCCAAGTGTTATTATATATAGGACCCAATCCCAAAGTGTGATTGCTGTAGCTGAAGAGGGCCACCAGTTGCTCTACCTATGCAGAAAGGCAAATCTTTGCCCCCTCCTCTCACTAGCAAGATGATCAGTATTTTTCTCTTGAGGTACTTCCTCGTCATTGCCCTTGGGGGCTTTCTCAGAATTCTGGTGCTGAGCAAAACAAACTTTTGTTGCCTTGAACATTTTATTTGCAAGCTTTAGCCCTTTTTGTACTATAGCCTTACTCATCCATTCTTACAGTGCTTGTCATCCTCCTGTATTTGTCCTTAGTTAAATGTCACATATTTTTTCCAACTTTTAAATGACCTGTGCATGCATACTTGTTTAGAGTTTAGCGATCAGGCAAGAGTTACATCTTGCCTACTGACTCTGATTAGTTCCACCAGGAGTGTTATACTGAGGAACTGAGGGCTCCTTCCAGCCCCAAAGGTTAAGAGTCTGCACTTAGTTGTGAGGTGTCTGTGTGTAGGATAGGCAAACATTTGCCTATGACTTCCATTTTCTTTTTGTATTGGCACTGGTTGTGGTAACAGTTGTATTTTAAAGCGTCATCTTCCTTTTAGAATCTTTCTAAAGTGAAATTGGGTCAATTTCTTGTGAATTCTTTGAAATATATTGCTTTAAAAATCTAGGATATATATTTATGTTCAAGACACTCTCCTCTTAGCTGTTACTAAAACAAATAGGGCTAGGTTGGGTTATACTGTAATAACAACCCTAAATCTTCAGAGATTTAAAGTAAAGTTTATTTTATGTTAACACTGAGTTGGCTGGGAACCGTGCCCCATGTTGTCCTCTTTCTGAGACTTGGTTCAACAGAGAAGACCTTGGTTTGAGTGTTTTCAATCATCATAGCAGAGAAAGAAGTGTGTCATGCTTCATGATACATATATGGTAACTCTTAAAAGCTTCCAGAAGTTACATATTTCACTTTGCACATTTCATTGGCCAAATCAAGTCATGGCCATACCTAACTCAAGGAAGTGGGGAGTAGAATTTTAACATGTGTAAAGAACTAGAAACATTTGGACAGTCTACCCTTTTGTCAGTAGATATTCTCCTTCCTACATGTACTTCATCCTTGGCTCTTCTCAGTGGAGATAACCCCTAAATCCCATCCAGTCACTATCAAGCTCAAAGTCTGGGATCTCTGAGTAGTGCCCAGTAGCCATAATCTCTTGTAGTCTCTATCTTTATAAATTATCTGTCTCCGTCATCCTGTTGAATACATAGAGTAGTGTAGGGACAGATAACTACAATAAGTGTTCCCATTTGGAGAGGAGAAGAATGGAAGACATATACCAGACTCTGGACTGTAGCAATTTTGGAGTCTTGCTGGGCAGATATTGCTAGAGCTCTAAATTATAAGAAAAATGAAATGAAAAAGCACATCAAATGACTAGCCCAATTGAAAAATAATTAGATGCAACAGACACAATTTTACTGCGTGAAATTGCTATAAAAGCTTCTAAACATTTATATGCATTTTCTGTGTTTATCTCATTATTATGGACCAGTGACATACAGTTCATATTCTAGCACATGCCCTTGAGCATAGTTCTCTATGATCCTTGGCTTTGCCCTGCAAGAGATCCTTCCATTTTTATTATCTTTGTCCCCACCTGAAGTTGGCTTTGGAGAATGTGGCTTCTTTCCATGGCTGAGCAGTTTTGTCAGCTTGTTTCCGGACCCTACAAGCATGGGGGCTTAAGGATTGTTTTAAGTTTTGAACAGCTAGTCTTTTGGATGGTGGTGCTTCTTTGAGTACCTTTCTTTTAATACCTCGTTAAGCACAATCAACAGCAACTATCACACAGTGCTCATTTCTGTCTTCCAGCCTCTTCTCTTAGGGCCATAAATAAGTTCTTTAGCCACATGAACCTAGCTACATGCTCATAAATTCATTAGGTACTTGTCACCTCCAACTTACTGTAGCGACAGTTTCATCAAATGTTTTGTTATTCCTTG